CGAGCAGAAACCAAGATGGTGACGACTAGAAACCAAGATGGTGATGACCAAAAAACTAAATCGTGACGACTGGAAACCAAGATGGTGACATTTAGAAACCAAGATGGTGACGACCAGAAACCAAGATGGCGACGACTACAAACCAAGATGGTGACGACCAAAAAACAAGATGGTGAATTCTAGAAACCAAGATGGTGACGACCAAAAAACAAGATGGTGACGACTAGAAACCAAGATGGTGACGAGCAGAAACCAAGATGGTGACGACTAGAAACCAATATGGTGACGACCAAAAAACGAAATCGTGACGACTGGAAACCAAGATGGTGACGACCAAAAAACAAGATGGTGATGTTTAGAAACCAAGATGGTGACGACCAGAAAATAAGACGATGACAACGAGAAACCAAGATGGTGACGACCAAAAACCAAGATGGTGACGACCAAAAAACAAGACGATGACAACGAGAAACCAAGATGGTAACGACCAAAAACCAAGATGGTGACGACCAAAAAACAAGATGGTGATGTTTAGAAACCAAGATGGTGACGACCAAAAAACAAGATGGTGATCTTTAGAAACCAAGATGGTGACAAATAGAAACCAAGATGGTGACGACCAAAAAACAAGATGGTGGCGACTGGAAACCTAGATGGTGACGACCAAAAATCAAGATGGTGACGACCAAAAAACAAGATGGGGATGTCTAGAAACCAAGATGGTGAAGACTAGAAACCAAGGTGGTGACGACTAGAAACCAAGATGGTGACGACTAGAAACCAAGATGGTGACGACTAGAAACCAAGACGTTGACGACTAGAAACCAAGATGGTGACGACTGGAAAATAAGACGATGACAACGAGAAACCAAGATGGTGACGACCAAAAACCAAGATGGTGACGACCAGAAAATAAGACGATGACAACGAGAAACCAAGATGGTGACGACCAAAAACCAAGATGGTGACGACCAAAAAACAAGATGGTGATGTTTAGAAACCAAGATGTTGACGACCAAAAAACAAGATGGTGATGTTTAGAAACCAAGATGGTGACAAATAGAAACCAAGATGGTGACGACCAAAAAACAAGATGGTGGCGACTGGAAACCAAGATGGTGACGACCAAAAATCAAGATGGTGACGACCAGAAAATAAGACGATGACAACGAGAAACCAAGATGGTGACGACCAAAAACCAAGATGGTGACGACCAGAAAATAAGACGATGACAACGAGAAACCAAGATGGTGACGACCAAAAACCAAGATGGTGACGACCAAAAAACAAGATGGTGATGTTTATCAACCAAGATGGTGACGACCAAAAAACAAGATGGTGATGTTTAGAAACCAAGATGGTGACAAATAGAAACCAAGATGGTGACGACCAAAAAACAAGATGGTGGCGACTGGAAACCAAGATGGTGACAACCAAAAATCAAGATGGTGACGACCAAAAAACAAGATGGGGATGTCTAGAAACCAAGATGGTGAAGACTAGAAACCAAGACGGTGACGACTAGAAACCAAGATGGTGACGACTAGAAACCAAGATGGTGACGACTAGAAACCAAGACGTTGACGACTAGAAACCAAGATGGTGACGACTGGAAACCAAGATGTTGAAGACCAAAAAACAAGATGGTGATGACCAAAAAACAAGATGGGGATGTCTAGAAACCAAGATGTTGATGACCAGAAAACAAGATGGGGATGTCTGGAAACCAAGACGGTGGCGACTAGAAATCAAGACGGTGACGACTAGAAACCAAGATGGTGACGACCAAAAACCAAGATGGGGGAAGACTAGAAACCAAGACGGTGAAGACTAGAAACCAAGATTGTGACGACCAGAAAACAAGATGGTGACGACTGGAAACCAAGATGGTGACGACCAAAAAACAAGATGGGGATGACCAAAAAACAAGATGGGGATGTCTAGAAACCAAGATGATGACGACCAGAAACCAAGATGGCGACGACTACAAACCAAGATGGTGACGACCAAAAAACAAGATGGTGTATTCTAGAAACCAAGATGGTGACGACCAAAAAACAAGATGGTGACGACTAGAAACCAAGATGGTGACGAGCAGAAACCAAGATGGTGACGACTAGAAACCAATATGGTGACGACCAAAAAACTAAATCGTGACGACTGGAAACCAAGATGGTGACGACCAAAAAACAAGATGGTGATGTTTAGAAACCAAGATGGTGACGACCAGAAAATAAGACTATGACAACGAGAAACCAAGATGGTGACGACCAAAAACCAAGATGGTGACGACCAAAAAACAAGACGATGACAACGAGAAACCAAGATGGTGACGACCAAAAACCAAGATGGTGACGACCAAAAAACAAGATGGTGATGTTTAGAAACCAAGATGGTGACGACCAAAAAACAAGATGGTGATGTTTAGAAACCAAGATGGTGACAAATAGAAACCAAGATGGTGACGACCAAAAAACAAGATGTTGACGACTAGAAACCAAGATGGTGACGACCAAAAAACAAGATGGTGATGTTTAGAAACCAAGATGGTGACGACCAAAAAACAAGATGGTGATGTTTAGAAACCAAGATGGTGACAAATAGAAACCAAGATGGTGACGACCAAAAAACAAGATGGTGGCGACTGGAAACCAAGATGGTGACGACCAAAAATCAAGATGGTGACGACCAAAAAACAAGATGGGGATGTCTAGAAACCAAGATGGTGAAGACTAGAAACCAAGACGGTGACGACTAGAAACTAAGATGGTGACGACTAGAAACCAAGATGGTGACGACTAGAAACCAAGACGTTGACGACTAGAAACCAAGATGGTGACGACTGGAAACCAAGATGTTGAAGACCAAAAAACAAGATGGTGATGACCAAAAAACAAGATGGGGATGTCTAGAAACCAAGATGGTGACAAATAGAAACCAAGATGGTGACGACCAAAAAACAAGATGGTGGCGACTGGAAACCAAGATGGTGACGACCAAAAATCAAGATGGTGACGACCAAAAAACAAGATGGAGATGTCTAGAAACCAAGATGGTGAAGACTAGAAACCAAGACGGTGACGACTAGAAACCAAGATGGTGACGACTAGAAACCAAGATGGTGACGACTAGAAACCAAGACGTTGACGACTAGAAACCAAGATGGTGACGACTGGAAACCAAGATGTTGAAGACCAAAAAACAAGATGGTGATGACCAAAAAACAAGATGGGGATGTCTAGAAACCAAGATGTTGATGACCAGAAAACAAGATGGGGATGTCTAGAAACCAAGACGGTGACGACTAGAAATCAAGACGGTGACGACTAGAAACCAAGATGGTGACGACCAAAAACCAAGATGGGGGAAGACTAGAAACCAAGACGGTGAAGACTAGAAACCAAGATTGTGACGACCAGAAAACAAGATGGTGACGACTGGAAACCAAGATGGTGACGACCAAAAAACAAGATGGGGATGACCAAAAAACAAGATGGGGATGTCTAGAAACCAAGATGATGACGACCAGAAACCAAGATGGCGACGACTACAAACCAAGATGGTGACGACCAAAAAACAAGATGGTGAATTCTAGAAACCAAGATGGTGACGACCAAAAAACAAGATGGTGACGACTAGAAACCAAGATGGTGACGAGCAGAAACCAAGATGGTGACGACTAGAAACCAATATGGTGACGACCAAAAAACTAAATCGTGACGACTGGAAACCAAGATGGTGACGACCAAAAAACAAGATGGTGATGTTTAGAAACCAAGATGGTGACAAATAGAAACCAAGATGGTGACGACCAAAAAACAAGATGTTGACGACTAGAAACCAAGATGGTGACGACCAAAAAACAAGATGGTGGCGACTGGAAACCAAGATGGTGACGACCAAAAACCAAGATGGTGACGACCAAAAAACAAGATGGGGATGTCTAGAAACCAAGATGGTGAAGACTAGAAACCAAGACGGTGACGACTAGAAACCAAGATGGTGACGACTAGAAACCAAGATGGTGACGACTAGAAACCAAGACGTTGACGACTAGAAACCAAGATGGTGACGACTGGAAACCAAGATGTTGAAGACCAAAAAACAAGATGGTGATGACCAAAAAACAAGATTGGGATGTCTAGAAACCAAGATGTTGATGACCAGAAAACAAGATGGGGATGTCTAGAAACCAAGACGGTGACGACTAGAAATCAAGACGGTGACGACTAGAAACCAAGATGGTGACGACCAAAAACCAAGATGGGGGAAGACTAGAAACCAAGACGGTGAAGACTAGAAACCAAGATTGTGACGACCAGAAAACAAGATGGTGACGACTGGAAACCAAGATGGTGACGACCAAAAAACAAGATGGGGATGACCAAAAAACAAGATGGGGATGTCTAGAAACCAAGATGATGACGACCAGAAACCAAGATGGCGACGACTACAAACCAAGATGGTGACGACCAAAAAACAAGATGGTGAATTCTAGAAACCAAGATGGTGACGACCAAAAAACAAGATGGTGACGACTAGAAACCAAGATGGTGACGAGCAGAAACCAAGATGGTGACGACTAGAAACCAATATGGTGACGACCAAAAAACTAAATCGTGACGACTGGAAACCAAGATGGTGACGACCAAAAAACAAGATGGTGATGTTTAGAAACCAAGATGGTGACAAATAGAAACCAAGATGGTGACGACCAAAAAACAAGATGTTGACGACTAGAAACCAAGATGGTGACGACCAAAAAACAAGATGGTGGCGACTGGAAACCAAGATGGTGACGACCAAAAACCAAGATGGTGACGACCAAAAAACAAGATGGGGATGTCTAGAAACCAAGATGGTGAAGACTAGAAACCAAGACGGTGACGACTAGAAACCAAGATGGTGACGACTAGAAACCAAGACGTTGACGACTAGAAACCAAGATGGTGACGACTGGAAACCAAGATGTTGAAGACCAAAAAACAAGATGGGGATGTCTAGAAACCAAGATGTTGATGACCAATAAACAAGATGGTGACGACCAGAAAACAAGATGGGGATGTCTAGAAACCAAGACGGTGACGACTAGAAATCAAGACGGTGACGACTAGAAACCAAGATGGTGACGACCAAAAACCAAGATGGTGAAGACTAGCAATCAAGACGGTGACGACTAGAAACCAAGATTATGACGACTGGAAACCAAGATGGTGACGACCAAAAAACAAGATGGGGATGTCTAGAAACCGAGATGGTGAAAGCCTGAGTTACAGAAGGAGGATCCCTGAAGGATGACGTCAGTGAGCTGCAGACAGAAGGTAAAAGCAGCAGCTCAGAGTTTCAGCTCAGTGAGGAGAGCAGCACCTCACACACTCTGGATCTCTGTATTATACACATTGATATAGGACGCTCAGTTTGGATCATCTGTCTAATGTGTTCTCATGATGAAGAAAATGTGTTCACTGTTATTGCCATGTTTAAAGTGACATCTACATCCAGGTAATGCATTGCTCATGTTGTGATGCTTGAAGAACCACAGGAGGATCATGGTTAACTCTACAGAAGCTTCATATTTCATACTGACTGCATACTCTGACACAGGTTTTTTTAAATACCTTTATTTCCTGATCATTCTTGCTTTGTATATTTGTATTATAGGTGCCAACGTGTTGCTGATTGTGGTTATCTGTGTGAACAGGAGCTTACATGAACCTATGTACCTTTTTCTGTGCAGCCTGTTTGTAAATGAACTGTATGGTAGTACAGGGTTGTTTCCATTCCTTCTGGTTCAGATCCTCTCTGACATTCACACTGTTTCTGCTCCGCTCTGCTTCCTGCAGATTGTTTGTATTTATTCATATGCAAGTATACAATTTAGTAATTTAGCCGTCATGTCTTATGACAGATATCTTGCTATCTGTAATCCTCTGCAATATAACACTCGTATGACTTCTAACAGGGTTGTCTTTCTTATTGCAGTATCATGGTTATATCCATTTATTGCCATTTGGATTATGGTGTCTCTGACTCTTTCTCTGCAGCTGTGTGGGAACATCATTAACAAAGTTTACTGTGATAACTTCTCCATTGTTAAGCTGGCCTGCTCTGACACTACAGTCAATAATGTGTATGGAATCATTATTACTTTTTTCTTAATCATGTTTCCTGTTTCTCTCACTTTGATCTCGTACATGAGGATCCTCAGAGTGTGTTTCTCTGGCTCCAAACAGACCAGACAGAAAGCTCTCAGTACCTGCACACCTCACCTCGCTTCCCTCCTTAATGTGTCTTTTGGCTCTTGCTTTGAAGTATTACAGAACAGATTTGACATGAAATATGTGCCGAATATGCTGCGCATTGTATTGTCATTATATTGGCTCAGCTGCCAGCCTCTCTTTACCCCAGTCCTGTACGGGCTGAAGATGTCTAAAATCTGCATCATATGTAAGCGCCTGTTGTACGGAGAAGTGTAGGTCATCAAGAGATTGCAGAGAAAGAGAATGAAAGGACCCTGACTTCAGCAGTATTAACTCTAATGACGTGTCTCGTTCACTGTGTGCAGAGGAAGGAAATGAAACGTGCAGATGTACATGTGCTGAGCTTGATGCTGCTCTCTCTTTCTGTTTCTTCTCTTGCTTTTCACTTTTCATATCAGCCTCAGTGATTTTAGGAGAACCCTGAAAGGTCCATGAGTCCGGACGTTAGGAGTGAAACTGAATTTAAAGCTGAATGAAGCTCCTCGCTGTGAACAGACACAGAGCAGCTTCATATCAACTATGTTCCCAATATGTTGACAATATGTTCACCTTCGTCTTCTCTCACATGTAATGTGTCCCAAATATACATCCTGTGTAAGAATCTGCTGCTAGCTTTCACATCACCTGTGACCTTATGAGTATAAATCAATGCAGCGTTGTACTACACTGAATAAATAACACACACAGCGGTTTGTATTGTCTTTTTAATGTCATGCAAAGTAATGGTTCTGATCCTTACGGGATTCACAACATTGACCCGTTATGTAGTATTTTTGTACTTTATTGAATTTGTAGTTTTACAAAGTAAAGTAAGTAAAGGATCTTCTTCCAGCTTTAATTAATAACTAAAGCGACTCCCACTGAGAGCTTCTGCAGGCTGTAATACCTGTTGAAACATCAGTCATTTAACATTACAAAGAAATCAAAGAAAGTAGCTGTGCCAAAATAATTAGAAGCCTGGAAGTCATGATCTATGATTATAGAGTCAGTTTGAGGTGCTCCAATACATTTCACATGATTTGCACGCGAAAAACCTTTTAAAAAGCGTGTTTTCTGAATGGAGATCGGATCGATCAGGCCAAGCTAACGCTGTAGCTGCTCCGTCCAAACTCACAACAATGTCCTAAAGACATAAATAAACCAGAGATCCTCACCGCTGATTGGTTCCCACGAGATCGTGTCACGCGAATTTGACGCTCGAGTTGAAAAAAATTGAACTCGAGCGGTTGTCGCGGCCCTCTCCAATCGCCTCAATCGCGCCGCGGCATTCCCTTCAATCGCTTCATGCTCGCCGTTGGAGCGAATTTGCGTCCGTCCTATGCATTAACTTTACATGTAATCGCGCCGCCCCCAAAAGTCGCATCGTGTCCGGTGTGAACGCAGCATTACTGCTGGACCCGGGACACACAGGGTCATATCCCCTGAATGCTAATGGCTATAGCCCTATAACTTTGGAATGGTCAGCCCTCAGGAGAGATCTCCCACGGTATCACATTTAAAGTAAATCGGAATAACTATATTTTTTGCAGATAATTGGCCGGAAAAAGGTAAAAGTCAAAGGTTGTCCAATCGTCTTTTCTGTTTCACCCGACTGAATCTTTGGGTTGGCTTGATAGCACGTTCAACATTTCAACTCCCTACCTCTAGTCATTGTGAAGATAGGACCCTCAGCATTCCAAGTACCGTGGCCCTACATTATGGTATTTTGAACGGACGTTCCCAATACCGTACCACAGAACCTCGGGTATTGGAAATGTTCAGAGTCTTACTTTTAAGGTGCTTTTTCCTGGGGGGCTACAACTTACAGGGCACGATACATTACATTCTTGCCAGTGTATTTAGGGGTGCCAGACTGAAGATTGTGGGTGTTTCTCAATCGCGAGTACGCTTGCTTGGTAGCACATGTCTGCCGAGCGTCTTGCTTCAGAAGCGAGGCAAGAATACTTCCTGGCATTCGGAAAACAAAGAGTGGAACAGACTAGCAAGTGTGCAGGTGTGCGTCATATGAGAGGCCCCGCCTTACATTTTCCATCACACATTTGGGGAAATTGGTCCGTGCGCAAAGCATTGTGGGGATTTTAAGACCGTGGAGCCACGAAATTTCTCCAAACGAAGTACGCCGGGCTCGGTAGAATTCCAAGTATGCTGGACATTGGAACAGTCCTTCGGCGGGACCCAATGACGTAGTATGCTTGAAATAGTGGCTCTGCAGCAGCTTTACTCGCGATTGAGAAACACCCTAAGAGTGGGTCGGCATGTCTGGCTGGTGGAAGGGGGTCCAGGAGGCTCCAGGGGCTTGATTGGAGGTGCTCTGGGGTTCTCTGTCTTTCTGGGGCATGGTTGGGCTGGGCCTCTCATGTTAAGTCAAGACCTCCAGAAAGGGGGTGACTGAGCCAGGCCCATCAGCTGGCTTTGAGCACCCTTTCTTGACCACCTTCCTACTGGTCTTCTGAATTTTCTTAAAGTGAAACGATTTTTCAATTGGACATACTGACTGCAGGACCTCAGGTCCTCAGCGTGTACAGGGGCTGTGTCTTCAAGGTGCATGCCCCCATGTAGCCAAAAATTACAGGACACGTTCCTGGGCCCCCAGAGACCAACATCTCCAAGTTTTAGAACTCAGTCCATTTGTCTTAAGTTCAGTCTTCTAGGAAAGGGGGTCATTGAGCCAGGCCTGACATCCGACTTAGAGTGCCCTTTCCTGGGTCAATCCCAGCCTGACCCCCACCCTTCCCCTGGAGTGAAAGGTGGGAAAGTATCTTCAGGATGCTTCATTCTGATCAATAAATTAGCCATAGGGCTCGTTGAGCTATTTACACTGTAGAGGGAGTTCAGTGGAAACTCTTCAAAGAGGGGGCCTTCTGGTGGATTTGTGCAAAAAGGCCTTTAAAAAAGCCCAAACTTTGAAAATCTGTATTTTTGCAACGGAAGATGTTTAACCTTGCTTTCTTTCAAAAGGTGCCCAAAAGATAAATGAGTCAATGTAGGGACCCCTCACTGATCTATGGGTCTTGGAACTTGCCCCCCAAAGGAGTGTTTATCAGCGTCAATGCGGAAGAAGCAAACCCATTTTACACCTTGGCTATCCAAAGGTTGGACAGTCACTTTCTCCGTCTTTGCACATTGCCACCTTGGTTTTGGAGCGTCACCCTTGTGGTTCTTGGCTGCCACCATCTGGGTTTTGGTTCGTTCAGTGATGCTGTCTGAAGCGATTGAGACAATCTTTTACCAGGGACATTTTTTCATAAGCTAATGACATTTAACCAAAAAATCTTTGAGGTTTTCACATCAGTCAGTAATTATTAGAAAACAGTTTGTTCTTTGAGATCTGCCCAGTAAAACCCCTCCCACACTGTGTCACCCCCCCCTCCACATATTGTCAGATAGTAAAGGTCCCTGTGATGAGCTCTGGCCGTGACTCCAGCTCAGGTACAGCAGGTGAAACACAACTGTTGTCTGACATTTGTTTCACATTTGACACAGGTTTCTGTTGTTGATGTATAGTTGTTGAATAATGCTGTATCTGTGCTCATCTTTAACATACACTTCTAAATCTTTAACAACAGGAGGATCATGATGAACTCTACGGAAGCTTCCTATTTTATACTGACTGCATACTCTGACACGGGGGTTTTGAAAAACCTTTATTTCCTGATCATTCTTGCTTTGTATTTTTGTATTATAGGTGCCAACGTGTTGCTGATTGTGGTTATCTGTGTGAACAGGAGCTTACATGAACCTATGTACCTTTTTCTGTGCAGCCTGTTTGTAAATGAACTGTATGGTAGTACAGGGTTGTTTCCATTCCTTCTGGTTCAGATCCTCTCTGACATCCACACTGTCTCTGCTCCGCTCTGCTTCCTGCAGGTTTATTCTGTGTATACATATGTGTGTGTGGAATTTTTTAATTTAGCCGTCATGTCTTATGACAGATATCTTGCTATCTGTTATCCTCTGCAATATAACACACGTATGACTTCTAACAAAGCTTATTTTCTTATTGCAGTGTCATGGTTGCTCCCTTTTCTTGCAATTGTTGTTCTGATATCCTTAAGTGTGTCTTTAACGCTATGTGGGAACATACTTAATACAGTGTACTGTGGGAACTTCTCCATTGTTAAGCTGGCCTGCTCTGACACCAGGGTCAATAACATTTATGGGCTCTTTTACACGGTCATCTCCATCATCATTCCTCTGCTTTTAATCCTCTACACGTACATGAGGATCCTCAGAGTGTGTTTCTCTGGCTCCAAACAGACCAGACAGAAAGCTCTCAGCACCTGCACACCTCACCTGGCTTCCCTGCTTAACTTCTTCTTTGGAGGTTTTTTCCAGATATTACAGAGCAGGTTTGATATGAGCGGTGTTCCCAACATGCTGCGCGTTTTATTATCCCTGTACTTTCTAACATGCCAGCCTCTCTTTACCCCAGTCCTGTACGGGCTGAAGATGTCTAAAATCCGCATCATATGTAAGTGCCTGTTGTACGGAGAAGTGTAGGTCATCAAGAGATTGCAGAGAAAGAGAATGAAAGGACCCTGACTTCAGCAGTATTAACTCTAATGACGTGTCTCGTTCACTGTGTGCAGAGGAAGGAAATTAAACGTGCAGCTGTACATGTGCTGAGCTTGATGCTGCTCTCTCTTTCTGTTTCTTCTCTTGCTTTTCACTTTTCATATCAGCCTCAGTGATTTTAGGAGAACCCTGAAAGGTCCATGAGTCCGGACGTTAGGAGTGAAACTGAAGTTAAAGCTGAATGAAGCTCCTCGCTGTGAACAGACACAGAGCAGCTTCATATCAACTATGTTCCCAATATGTTGACAATATGTTCACCTTCGTCTTCTCTCACATGTAATGTGTCCCAAATATACATCCTGTGTAAGAATCTGCTGCTAGCCTGTGTTGGGAATAACATGTAACAGGATGGTTCAGTTTGAGTCAGAAGAGGAATAAAAATGCTTGCCTCAATGGTTATTCTTTTGTCCTCTAATTGTATCCTCTCCTCGTACATGAGGATCCTCAGAGTGTGTTTCTCTGGTCGTAAGCAGAGCACACAGAAAGCTGCACACCTCACCACGCTTCCCTCATCAACTTCTTTGAAGAATTGTAAAATATTACAGGCCCAACATGTTAAGTATATTAAAACAAATATATAACTTCCTTACATGCCCACCTCTCTTCAATCCCATAATGTATGGCCTTATAAAGAAACAGTAAGATGTGTCAAAGTGTGTTTTCTTCTGAAGTGAAGATCAGTGGTTGTGTCAGGAAAAAAGAAGCTATAAATGATCAAAGTGTGCTCCATCATTCAAAGTGAATATCTACAGAGAGGGAACATTTAGTCAGCTTTTTTTAAACCTTTAAAGCCCCAAGCCTGTTTTCCAGGTCTCAGGCTCGAAAATGACATTCCCAGAACAAATGACCATATCTTCTAAAAGGGGTAAATTAATAATCTTGTTCTCAAAGTAATGATGAACCTGTGAGTTGGATGTAGAAAAGTCAGAATCAATATAGATGTTTTTTATTTTAAAGAAAATTCAGATTGAACATGGTAAAAACATTTAAATGATAGTGTCCGTCCAAAAATAAACCATTACTTATCGTGAAAACCACCCTTGAATGATGGGTTAGTGGACTAAAAGCTTTAGGAATCCAAACTATAACATATAAGTACCCTGTATCAAGATTGATGCAAAACAAGCGACATTTGACCTCTGGGGTCATTTGAGTGGATTTGCCGTTTCTCTGGAACCCATTGGTCAATTTTGATGATTGACACCTCTTTTTAACACTTAGAGCCAATAGAATCGAGGGGCTGATCCTAAATCCACATACACATACACCATGAGGAGTGAGAGTGATGCGCATAAAGTTTGCCCAAATCGAAAGCTACGTTACACTCTGAAAACTGAAAACTGAAATTGCCATAAATGTGATGATGGATTATCATAAATCATTTCAAAGTGACACAGACACATTGGATTAAACATTGGATTAACCTTCAGCAGCGTTTTGATCGTTTTGATGCCATTGAACACAACTTTTGTTCAGAACAACAGCAAAGGTAAGAATATTATGATGTCTGGGTTTGCTTCCCATGCCACGAGTCCTGGTCGCTCAGTGATGATACTGATATTTCTGGAATCTGTGGAATCTCAGCTTGCTAGCTGATGTCTTGTTTGTGCAGATCCAATAAGTGGTGGAGTGTTTCTGCCGTGAGTTCTGTGCTAAGTGCGTTAGCATTTTTTCGCTCAGGGCTAATTCAGAGGCTTGGCGTTAGACTTGTGTTTCGTTTGGCTAAAAAAATGTTCATATCATCAGTTAGTTGAGTTTCTTCCCGTTAAGTGGATAGGACACATTCATAGTTTGTTAAATGTTAAGAAGCCCTCAGACGCTGTTTCTTGCAAGAGAACTGGGACTGTGACAGTTCTAATGAATTCAAAAGATTGGGTCCGGCAGAATATGAGTTTGACACTTTATATTACATATGTTGTTGGTTGATTGTCATTTGCCAAATTAGCTTTGCACACATTAATACCATTAGGATCAGAAATGTTCATATGTTTATAGAAGTCAGACTTGAATCTCTTTATCCTCTTAGAGAGCGTCTTGCATGTCAAATGATTATGTATTCCTCCACGTGTTCCCTCGCGTCCGTGACCAATTACAGCCCAGAAAAATCTGGCATATACGCAATCTTTTTGGTTCATCAATTTTTGGTTTATACCTAAGTAAAAATCATCCTGATATGAAAATAAATTGTTAATTTTGTACATTTTGCATTAATTTAGACTAAAATAGAATTGGAACCAGCTTATGTTTTAGGTCGGATATGTGTTGTCTTGAGGTCAGCGGGTCTGTATTAATTTCTTTCTGACTATTAATTCAAACCTTCTAATTGACCTATCAGAAGCTATTGAGTCTATGCAAGTTTACCGCCAGGCTCGGATCCACCTGGATCAGCAAGGTCTCACCTCTACTAACTCCTGAAGAACCAGGTTCAATGAACTGCTGTTTTAAGGCAGACGACTTACCAAATCTGTTTAAGCGATCCCTTAGGATTCTAGTATCTTTAATGAGGTATGGCCCTATCTAAGTGTGCGCAATCTTACCCTAAATCAGGAGAGGACAGCTCATAATTAATTTAGGTTAACAGGTAAGAGAAGCAGAAGCAAGTACGCACCAACATACGCATATATGTGGGGGTGTGTCATTTCTGACTGTGAGACTGGACATGTCCAGACTTTCCTCGAAAATGAAACTAAAGCTTACAGTAAAATCCCATTGAGTCAGGGGCCTCCTGCTGTTAGAGTAAGGGGGTTTCCCCACTGCTGAATAGTGACACCATTAGGGACAAACTATAACAGACCTTAAACTCTTTCATGTCTATATTTATGCCCCTTTTCCACCAAACCGCTTCCAGAGCCAGTTCCGGGCTACAGCCTGATTTAGTTTTGGTTCTTCCTGTTTCCACCGCAGCGGAGCCGGCTCTAAGCACCAAAAAACGGTTCTTAGCTGACCCCACTCGCAAGAATCAAGAACCAATACTTCACGCTTATGTCGGAGGGCGGGATTAACCTAATGTTAGGGCTGTACAAGGGCGTAGAACCAAATGCACGAGGCAGAGACAAACAAAGTATCAAAATAAAGTGTTTTAATGTAGACAGGTCATAACACACTGAATACATAAAGCAACAAAACAAAAACTACTAATACACTAATCTAACTCTATGGACGATAACTCTATGGACAATGACAAAAGGATCTTACGCTGGAAGTCTTGGAACACACAAGACAATCTGGCAACGAGACAGGGGAAGACGAGAACTATATATACTAGACAGACAACACCAGGTGAAGACAATTAGACAATCACAACAGCGGGAAAACAGACAAGGCAGGAAACGTACTTTAGACACATGAGGGTAGACAAGACTATCAAAATAAAACAGGAACCTATCTAAACACATAACATGAAACCTAAACTAGGGAACAATCTTAGCAGAGCCGTCTACACACAACACCTAATCAACAACAACAAAATGCCGCAAATTCTGTTCAGCAACACAGACAACTAGGAGCCAGGATGGATGCCAGTGAATCAGAATCAGAATACCTTCATTAGTCCCACGGAAGGGGCATTTGCGTAGTTACAGCAGGAAAAAGAGCCACAGACAGCTTAATGTTACATATGTTACATAATGTTACATGCATTAAAAAAAGTACTAAGTTGTGATATAATAAAAAATATAATACAAATTAAAAAGTTAACTAACAACAAAGCTAAAGCTGGCCTACTACAGCTACTGAGCTTGCAAGTAAACAAACGATAGATCTAGCATGCTAATGCTAGACAGCATGTATCTCCATGGCAACGAACGTTAACGCTGTCGATATGAGGGATTTCCGCGCGTGTGGGTGTCATAAGAAGGCAAGTAAATGTTTACGTGATGACACAAACAATGACGCAATGACGCAGCTTCACTGGAGCTTCACTCGGGCTCTTAGCGGTGGAAACACAAGTGGTGCTACAGAGAAGAACCGGTTCAGCACCAGAAAAGCACAAGAACAGATCTTAGTACGGCGCATTAGTATATAAGTATAGAGCTTCCTGAAATATAAAGCATTTGACATTGTGGAATATAACAAAAAACAAGATGGTGACGACTAGAAACCAAGATGGTGACGACTAAAAAACAAGATGGTGACGACTAGAAACCAAGATGGTGACGACTAAAAAATAAGATGGTGACGACTAGAAACCAAGATGGTGACGACTAGAAACCAAGATGGTGACGACTAGAAACCAAGATGGTGACGACTAGAAACCAAGATGGTGACGACCAAAAAAGAAGATGGTGGCGACTAGAAACAAAGATGTTGACGACTAAAAACGAAGATGGTGACGACTAGAAACCAAGATGGTGACGACTAGAAACCAAGATGGTGGCGACTAGAAACCAAGATGGTGACGACTAGAAACCAAGATGGTGACGACTAGAAACCAAGATGGTGACGACTAAAAAACAAGATGGTGACGACTAGAAACCAAGATAGTGACGACTAGAAACCAAGATGGTGACGACCAAAAAAGAAGATGGTGGTGACTAGAAACAAAGATGTTGACGACTAAAAACGAAGATGGTGACGACTAGAAACAAAGATGGTGGCGACTAGAAACCAATATGGTGACGACCAAAAAACAAGATGGCGACGACCAAAAAACAAGATGGTGACGACCAAAAAAGAAGATGGAGACGACTAGAAACCAAGATGGTGATGACCAGAAACCCAGATGTTGATGACTAGAAACCAAGATGGTGACGACCAAAAAACAAGATGGTGACGACCAAAAAACAAGATGATGACAACGAGAAACCAAGATGGTGAAGACCAGAAACCAAGATGGTGACGACCAGAAACCCAGATGTTGACGACTAGAAACCAAGATGGTGACGACCAAAAAACAAGATGGTGAAGACCAAAAACCAAGATGGTGACGACCAGAAATCAAGATGGTGACGAATAGAAACCAAAATGTTGACGAGCAGAAACTAAGATGGCGACGACTACAAACCAAGATGGTGACGACCAAAAAACAAGATGGTGAATTCTAGAAACCAAGATGCTGACGACCAAAAAACAAGATGGGGATGTCTAGAAACCAAGATGTTGATGACCAAAAAACAAGATGGTGACGACTAGAAACCAAGATGTTGACGACCAGAAACCAAGATGGTGACGACTAGAAACCAAGATGTTGACGACCAGAAACCAAGATGTTGACGACTAGAAACCAAGATGGTGACGACCAGAAACCAAGATGGTGACGACTAGAAACCAAGATGTTGA